AATGGTTTCCTATATCAAAACAACTTTAAATTTGAAATGTCTATTTATATAAATAAAATAAATTCAACTATTATTTTCTCTTTTTTTTTGTATGATCATCCGGTATCCAGAAATTTATTGGGTTACCGACTAATTCGGATTCAAGCCGGGCAGCACCCAATGAACGGTAAAGCTCTTCCTTATGAGTTTTAATGAAGCTGCATTTTCAGGACTTGAACTCAAGACCTCTGGTTAAGTTAGAAGAGTCCCAGCCAACTCATCCACCCACTCATGGGTAAATTCAACTATTATTTTCATAGTATATAAATTGTACAAAAAAATGATATATAATTAATGTAAAAACTTATGTAAGTTATATTAATGTAATTAATTAGATGTTGACTAATTTTTAATATTTTTTCTTACCTAAACCAAATTATCATATTTTAAAAACTAATCACAAAGAGAGAAATAACTCCTTTACCTAAATCCTAAATATTTCTTTTATATTTGAAATGGTCCCAATAATTCAAAACCTCAAGAAACAAAATTTTGTAAAAAATAAAAATTAGTGTACCATATTTGAAAATTTTCAAAAGCTTAGGGGGGGCAGCTGCCCCCTCTTTGTCCTACATGGGCTCCGTCGCTGCCGTTAGGACTTTAGTTAGCTCCACGTCGAGCACACACCTTATCTACATATTTAAAATGGAGATATTACAAGCGCAACTTTAACCATATAAGTCCATACACAACTCGATGTGATATTAAAGGCCTGTTTGCCATAGAAAAAAATTCCCCCCTTTGCTCGGGAGAATTTAAGTATATATAACATTTTCTCTTATATTAGTACTACAATAAATAAAGAGAAAAGTTAATATTTTGAATATTTATTTTTTATATGATTTTAATAAATAATCGTTTTTTATATATTTTTTTAAGGAATAATATTTCCTCCAACTTTCTTAACATGAGATCAACTTAACAACTTTTTCGTAACTTTCCTAACTTTTTCAAAAATAAAAAAGTTAATAACCCATTAAAAAAAATCTCATCACAAAACTTATTATTATTTTGTACATTATTTTTCTAATAACTTTCCTTATAAAATGTCCTAAGAAAATTGATTTCTAACCATATAGGTCATAAATAAGTAGGTACCAATAATACTACAAGTGCCCTTAAAATGAAAAAAGAGATACCCACCGATCCTCTTTATTTACAATATCCATTTTGATTTATTTCCAATTTTTGTTCAAATGTAGTTTAGTCAAAAGTCAAATTACATCAATAACCTAAATAATTTAGTAAGCAAAAAAGAAAAATTAAAACGTCTTGATATTAAAAATATTAAAATATTTAATAGTAGTTACATTATAAATTTACTAAAATTAGGACTTACATTATACCTCATATATTTAATGACTGTGATTAAATGTTCTGACATTTTTAATGCAAAAATGTCTTGATTTTCACTTTTCTCATTTAGTAATATTTTTTTTATTAAAAGTAACAAATCTTGAGTTTAATGTGTATACAATTATAATGTTACATAATATTATAAGATATTAATGTTTATTAGCCAGATTTACAAAAAAAATAAATTAAAAAATTTTAAAATTATGTTGTTTTAATAAAACACTATAAGAAAAATTTAAAACATTTTCATTCCTAGTTTAAAATAATTAGATATTTTAGTTTTTTTCAATAAAATTTTATTTAAATGACATAGTTTTGATGTATTTTTTTACCTAATTTTTTACGATACAAACTAATACCTACTTTTCTAATATTATAAACTTATAATTATAATATGTTATTAAATGATTAACTCTTTTCATTTAAAGATTTATTTTTATTCATTTAATAACACATTAAGATTATAAACTTAAGGCCAACCCCCTATTTGCACTCTACACATTATTTTTTTCACAGTCAACATCTATTATAATTTTTACTTCTAGTCAACACTATCTATAATTTAAAATTTATAAACCAAATATTAACAAAATTAAGATGTCAATAAAGAATTTAACTGTTAATTTTTAAGATTTTTATGAGTCTTAAATTATAAAGAACGTTAATCTTGTATAAAAATTCTTAAAGGTATTAATTGTAAAAAACTAATGTGAAAGATATAAATAAAAAATTTAATTTAAATTTAAAATTCAGCGTGTTATTATAATAACTTTTTCAAAAATTTTACCATATAATTTTCAATAATTAACCTTCACTATTAAAACAAAGAAAGAAGAAGAGAATTTTTCCACTAACTAAATTATATTATTTATTAACTTTAACTTTATAATTTAATTAATTAAAAAATTCAACCTTTTCCTGGCCTTCATGCTAAAATGTCTGAAGAAGAGTCTGACTTGCCCACCAAGCCACCTACGACTACGATTGAAGACTTTATCCTAAATTCTTCGTTATCGTAAAATAAAATTTAAAAAAGGCAAGTAAATCTTAGGAAAGTTCCAAAATCCAAACTCCAAGATCCCAAAATCCCCCAATACCTACTTTTCCCCCCTACATAAACCCTTCCTCTGCTCGTCCTTCCTCATTCAAAAAAACCTCCAAGCTTTTTTTCTTTCTGTCGATTTCTGTTGTATAATTTCCTAAAATGTGTGGCGGTGCTATCCTCGATGATATAATCCCAAGGAGCAACCAGCAGCGACGCGGTGTCGCTGCCTCTGACCTCTGGCCTAACTCCCCATTCGCTAAAGTTCCCACCTTTACCTCTGATCTCCGTCACTCCAGTTATGACGTTTCATTCCCTGGCCTGAAAAACCCTCGACCCCAATTCTCTCCAGGTACCGTTTGGTTCCCTCAGGTATGATATCGGCTTGTTTTACTTCTTAACTGAAATTTTTGATTGGGGCATTTATGCAAACAGGTGATGAGCAAGTGGAGAAAAAACCGAAGAGGGTGAGGAAGAACCAGTACAGAGGTATAAGGCAACGTCCCTGGGGCAAATGGGCGGCGGAGATTCGCGATCCGAGAAAAGGCGTTCGTGTTTGGCTCGGTACGTTCAACACTGCTGAGGAAGCGGCTCGTGCCTACGACAGAGAGGCCCGGAAAATCCGCGGTAGTAAGGCCAAAGTCAATTTCCCCAACGAAGACGATGACTTCTCCACGCAAAATTACCAGCGGAACCACTGCAACCAGACCATTCTCTGGAATCCGAGTCTCAACCCAAACCCAACAGTTTGTCCACAAAGGGGAAACGCTAATTTCAACCATACTTATGGGTTTGGTAATGATTTGTATAACCAGATTGGGGCCTCTGCTACAGACCCCATTGTCATACCTGGAGAGGAAATTTCTGGGTCTGGTTTGCAGGGGACGTACTCATCAGTCGACCAAAATGAGGAAATTTCTGGGTCTGGTTTGCAGGGGACGTACTCATCAGTCGACCAAAATGAGGAAATTTCTGGGTCTGGTTTGCAGGGGACATACTCATCAGTCGACCAAAATGAGGAAATTTCTGGGTCTGGTTTGCAGGGGACATACTCATCAGTCGACCAAAATGAGGAAATTTCTGGGTATGGTTTGCAGGGGACGTACTCATCAGTGGACCAAAATGTAACCGGGGATCGTCATTACGCTGAAGTGAAGACAGAGCAGCAAGATGAGAAACCAATGAACCCGGAAGAGGCAGCAGCTGCGGCGAAAGCTCTGGAGGAGGAGAGCGAAGTGCGGAAGCTCTCGGAAGAGTTGATTGCTTACGAGAACTACATGAAGTTCTATCAGATCCCGTGTTTTGATGGACAATCACTGCCGCAAAACAATACTGTTTCACAGGAGACTATCTTCGGTGATCTATGGAACTTTTGATGAATGACGGTGGGGGGTGGGGTGGTGATGGTGGTGGTGGTGATGCTGCGCCTCGGCGGAGACTGTTAGAACAGTCTTATTATTATTGTTTTTAAATTTATATATGCAATATTTTATTTTGTACTGTACATAGAGAATTGAAAAAAAAAATTTCATTATCATTTTTAAAAGGTTTAGTTCGATTTTTTTAATTTTTTAAATATAAATTTTAAATAAAAAATTAATATATTATATAAATAATAATTAAAAAATTTTTATCAAATAAAAATATCCAATAATAATTTATATAAAAAATTTTAAATTATTATTTATATAAATATTAAAATTTTATTTACAATTTATGTTTAAAAAATTAAATTAAATCTATTAAAAATAGATTAAAAATTATAAAAAATAATTTTAATTCAAACTTAATTGAATTGTAAAACTTTATTTATACATTCAATTGGACAATCATACGATTAAATGTTAAATATGGACAAATCTTTTGATAGAGGTATGATTTATCATTTAATATTTTTATTTTATGATTTAATATAATTTAAATTAAAATAAAATATTTTAAAAAATTAAAAAATTTATAATTTAAATTATTTTAAATTATAAAATATTAAATATACGATGAAAAAACAT